GGTTTGAATCCACCAGCAGCTCCATGGGAGAAGGATGGACAATCTTCTCCTGTGTCACAGGATCAGTTCAGACTCAATGGTACACAACATCACCAACAACCTGAATTGTAACCTGTTAACTTCCCTAATAAACCCATTGTTACAAGTGTGTTTCTGTGAAGTCTGCATAGCTACTGGAACAGATTTTGGACTCAGTATAATTGGTGCTGGAGTAAACAGAGGTGTGGGAATATAGGGGGCAGGTCTGACGTCATGGAAGTTGAGTTTGTATTGTGGATGTTGTTGTGTATCATCAAATCTGAAGCAATCCATAGCTGGCCCTCTGGTAGGTTTTCCAAGGCAGTTAATGGCATGGGAGGGAACTGCCCATCCATGGAGCAGTTAGTGGATTTAACTGCATGCCTTTGAGATTGCAATGCAGCTTCTTACCACATTTCTATATTCTTGTTATGTGCCGTCAAGTTGCTTGTGATTCATAGCGATTCTATATACAACAGTCCTGAAATCTTTTCTGTCCTGCTCCAACTTTACTGTTTCTGACATACCTACCCTCATTATCCTAGTCACTGAATTAATCCATCTCATCGATGGTCTTCCTCTTTCTCTGTCCCTCTACCCTTCCAAGCATGATGTCCCTCTCTAAGGACTGGTCCCTCTTTGCAACATGCCCAAAGTTATGTGAGATGAAGCCTCAGAATCCTTGCCTCCAAGGAGCATTCTGATATCACTCTCTCTAGGATGAACCTGTTTGTTTTCCTGGCAGTCTATGGTATTTTTAACACTCTCCTCCATCACCATAGCTCAAAGGCATAAATTCTCTATCATCTCTAGTCATTGTGCAGCTCTCTGACACGCAAAGCAACTGCAAAGACCATTTCTGTACAGGGATCATAAAGAAATACTTATTTAGCTATTACTTGAGCTCACCTCAGAAACATAATTTCAATTAGGTAAAAGTTAAAGGGTTTTTTGCATCTTTTGGTATCATAGTCTACGTTCTTATTTTCATCTTAGTCTTATTCTCTTCTCATGGCTTTACCACACTAAAGGAAACCTACTCGAGTTCTCACCCTGTGTAAACAGAATGAAAGACTGCCTGGTCCTGTCCTATGCCATCTTCACAATCATTGCTGTTTGAGCTCACTGAGACATCCATTGCATAAAATGAATACTGTGAACAAATGCTGATCCTTTTCTGAAATTGATGGACTGTCATAAAACCCAATATCCCCAGTACAGAATTTAAAAAAAGTCTGTAACTTCTACTTTGTCCAATAATTCACTATCCTGTTCAGCTTGTATGACTTTACTAAGACTTTTCCTCCTTTTTTTTTTCATGTCAGATGGGTAGTGTACCTATGTCTGTAACAAGGTTTAGTAGGTGGCACACATCATTAAACTTCCAATCATCATGCATATGAACTGGAAAATGATCCAGACTCTTCCTCTTGCCATCAATACCCTTTCCTCTTCCTTCAGTTTAGTTCTGTGTTTTCTTTTAAAGATTAATTTAAGTGAAAACCACCATGAAGCTCTTCCTACTTAGTCTATGTTATTGTTTGCTATTGAGTTGGAACTGACTCATAGCTGACCCTCCAGCAGGTTTTCAGAGGTAGTTAAAATCACACCCAAAGAGTACCTGGTGAATTTGAACCCAGTGTCTTTGGGATTACAGCACAGATTCTTACACCACCAGAGCTCTATAGGTATCTTTTTTCTCTCCCAAGAACCTGAGTAGTAGCGTTGATTCAACAGGTCATTAGTGACACGTAAATGCACTTCATATGATAGCTTATATTTTAATATACAGGACTGTTTCCAACTCATCAGGCTTACTGCCGTCCCTTAGTCGTAAACAAACACAACTTGAACAGCTTTTTGAGAAAACCACGGCCGGAGCAGTAGTGATTCTGCCGTTTCTCTGGGTTAGCTCTGGCCTGAAATGAGTTGCTATCTCCAGAAAACATGAATGTGCCAGAAAGCCCCAGCAAGTTTATTCTCCTCACCCAGCCCACTCAGCTGTTGATCCTCCCCCTTCTTCAGCGCTCAGGAGGCTCCCCGAGTTTTCTTGCTTCCACCCATGCAGGGGGGACTCGTGTCCAATTGAGGGTTTTCCCTCCACTGGGCTGGGGTCCTCGCCTGGATGGCCAGGGCGTGCACTGGTCCCGCCAGCTCCTCAGACAGCGCGTCATGGACCAGCCGGTGTCGCTGCAAAGGGCTCAGTCCCTCAAAGCGAGAGCTCACCACCGCCACGCGGAAATGCGTCTCGCTGCCAGAAGGGACCGCATGACCACTGCTCTCATTGCGTAGCTCCAGCACCTCGGGGCTCAACGCCTGCTCCAACTTTGCGCGAATGGCAGCTTCCACTGGACCGATGGTCCCCGATCCCCAGCTGTTCTGGGACAGACATACACGGCCGGCCATGGAGACCAGACGACCGACCAGTTGCCCACTCAGCATCGGCTACGGCACAAACAGAGACATAGGAGCAGTAAGCATTGAGGTCTCTTGGCTAATCAGAGCAGTTTCCCCAATTCCTTTCCACCCTCGCAGGCCTGCAGAACCGACTTCTATACCCCACTCCTTTTCTGCAGGCTCCTGCTTAGATTGGAGCCCTTGCTACTTGTCATGTGGCGATCTGGCCTCCAGTAGCTGACCCTAGAGGGGCGATGAAGGCCCGTCTATCAAAAAGGGGAATATGTTAGGAATGGGCTGGAGGCTGCAAACATTAAGACCTGTGCACCTGCAGTCTCAGGTGAGCCGGTCCCCTTGTTACACCTCTGAATCCCACGCTGGATCTTTCTACCTGCAGCTCAAGTTCGGCCGCCGCAGTTGTCGCTCAGAGACCGTATTCCAACGTTCACTGTGGGAAGTAGGCCTCGCATCCTGAGGCACGCTGGGAAATGTAGTCTTTGCGTTTGTAGAAGGGATGGGTGCTATGTGATACTCCAAGGGTTCATGGGAACTGTAGTCTCTCCTGACCAGTGAGGCCCCGTCACGGTTCAAATACCGCAGGATGTGATGGGAACCTTGCTGCGTGTAGGTTATTTAGTCCAGCTCCTTTATTTTACATGTAATAAAATGGAAATGCATTTAATTTACTGAATACATAATTATGTGTGGAGGCTAGCTGGAGGCTGGGGATAGACAATAATCGTAAATTTAAGGAGTTCCCAGAGTATTAGAGAAGGGGGATAAGGTTGCCAACAATCTGAGATGCTGCGTGATGAGGGAAATGATAGGAACACAGGATCCTAGGGACTTGAGAGACAGAAAGTTTCTTAGAGGACATTTAGGGAAATAGTCCAAGAAAGGATAACATGAAAATGTTTTTCTTTTTTTTTTTTTGAAAATGTTTTTCTTAGTCTTCCTTACAAACAGAAGAGAGGAAAGCAGGAGAGGAGTAGAGAAACATTTTGTCTGGATAAAAGACAACGTGATTGAAGACAGGAAATGAGTGGGAGAGAATTAATTGAATTAGAAGGCTGTTAAAGAGAGGGAATCTATAGGACTTGTTTTAAGCAAGGGACTTGTAATTTACTTATCCAGTGATAGCTGATGCAATCACTTCTTATATTCAATTTCCTCATGAGGATAACACAGTTTCCCCTGATAGAGCCAAACATTATTAACCGATTATCTTAGTTGTGTTGCTGTAACAGAGATAGTATGAGTATCTGCTTCAACAAACAAATTTACTTCCTTACAGTTTGTTGTTTTTGTTAGGTGCTGTAGAGTACAACTCATAGCAACACAATAAATAGCCATTCTGAAACCTGGCCTATACTGTGCCATTCTAATCATCTCTGAGAGACCATTGGTAAAGTCACAGTGTATTCCATCTCGTTGGGGTTCTTGCTCTCCTTCACTGACCCTTTATCTTTCCAAGCCTGATAACCCTTTCCAATAAATAGCCTCACTTAGCTGCATGTCCAAAATGAAAGATGAAGTTTGGTCATCCTTGCCTCCAAGGAACAGTCTGGCTGCATCCTTTTCAAGATATATCTGTTTTTTGGCAGCCCATGGATATTCAATATTCTTATCCAATACCACAACTCAAAGCACCAACAATTCTTGTTATGTCATTCTTAGTTATTGTCCAGTTCTCTGACACACAGCAGGCACTTAAGAAGAACATGGCCTGAATTAGGTGCACCTCAGTCTTGAAACTGACATCATTGCTCTTCAGTATTTTGGAGAGGTCCCTGACTGCAGACATTTCCAGTGCAATATGTCTCCTGATTTCCTCACTGCTGGTACCAAGGGTATTGAGTGGCAACGCATAGGGTTCAAATCACCAACTGCTCTTCAGGAGAAGGATGGGCAATCTCTTCTGTTAAATTAACAGCCTCTGAAAAGCTGCTAGAGGGTCCACCTTGGGTCAATTTCTACTCAATGTTACACAACAACAACAACAACATAGTAATATTAACTGTTGGACCTGTGGTGAGGATCTTTGTCTTCTTGATGTTGAATGTGATCCATAATGAAGGCTGTAGTCCTTGATCTTCTGCAGCAGGCGTTTCATACCCTCCTTTCACAATAGCTAATCACAAGATTAAATACTTGGGAATAAATTTAACCAGAAGTACAAAGGACCTTTTCCAAGAAAATTACAAAACATTACTACA